TCTTGCACTATGAAGCCTTCCATGAGCTACAATGCCTCTGGATTTCTCGACATTCTCATTCATTTCACCTTTTACCTTAACCTTTACATTATCTTCTACTTCATTCTTCTGTTATCTCATTAAATTAGGCATCTTTCAAGGACAGGAACTATAGGGTTATATAAGGATCCCTGGTGTCACAGTGGGTTAAGCACTAGACTTCTAACAGAAAGGCCACTGTTCAAACCCACCAGTGACTCTGTGAGAGAAAGACGAGGCAGTATGGTCCCACAGAGATGTATAATAACCTTCGTAAACTCTGCAAGGCTGTTCTACTCTGTCCTCTAGGCTCACTGTGAGTCAGAATTGACTTCATGGCAGTGGGTTTGTTAGAGCTTTTGTTGCTAAAATACTAAACAGGTTTCAGTGGAACTTCTAGACTAAGATAGATTAGGAAGAACGGCCTGGTGACTGACTTCCAAAAAGCAACCAGTGAAAACTCATGGGGATGCACAAGACTGGGTAGCATTTCACTTCTTTGTGCACGAGGTGGCCATGGGCCAAGGTTTGAGTGCTTGATGGCAGTTAACAAAGGCTTCCTGTGCCCAACTGGGAATTAGGAGTCTGCAATCAGGCATTATCCTGGCCTCCTCATACCGCATCTGTAACCTTCCTTTGATGCTCTTCGCCCTTTCATTTCATTCTTCCTGTTCCCCTAATGGGCCAAGCTGGACAGCATCCCTCATTGCAGGTTACTGTAGAAGGGGAACTGGACTAGGGAGGAAGCCTGGCTTCTTATCCCATCTCACCAGGCACCCACCTTCTCTGGCTTCACTTTTTTTATCAATAAAATGAAGATACAATACTAGATAATGACATTGTGGATTCTGTCTCATTGTAACTCATTGCCATTGAGCCCGAAGTGACTGCAGGTTTTCAGACGCCAGAAATTGCATGTGAGAAGATCACCTGCCTTTCTCCCTCCAAGCCGCTGGGGGGTGTGAAATGCCACAGGCACCACCTTGGGCCAGCTGTGAAACACCCTGCAGACTGTACTACGGTCGCTCCCTTGTTCCTCTTTGCATGGTTTGTTCTTCCTTCTATAGTCTGACATATAAACATATCTTTCTCTCTTTTTTTAATTTAAGGTTATAGCTCAGCAAGTATCAGATAAACACTTGGAAGAAGGCCGGCTTTATCCTCCTTTGAACACCATTAGAGAAGTGTCTCTAAAAATTGCAGAAAAGGTAAAGTCACTTACTCAATCTTTGTGGGTTTTTTTTTCTTTCTACCATTGCTAAATTTGTATTTTTTAAGTACCAAAAATCAATTTCTTGAAATGTATTTCTAAAAATTTAACTTACTGTGGTAAAAGTAAGAGAAATGAGGCAGTTAGTTGTCTCAGTAGGGCTCAGGAGCAATGGGACAATTGGTATAAATCATTACTTTCCCTCGCTTTGCTTTTTGCCTAAAACTTCACTAGTGATTCCTTCAGTCAGGCTCTCCCATTCTAACAGTTTTTAAAATTATTGTTTCTTCTATCAGATGGGTGGTACTCACCAAAATATTACTTAGTGAAGTGACATTTAGAACTTGAACCACTGACCTTACTGTCTGTTCTTCTGTTCTCCGTGTATAACATCTTTGTTGTTGTTGTGTTGTGTACCATCGGGTCAGAACCAACCCACAGATGAGCCTCCGACATGTTTGCATGGCAGTAAATTGCATGGGAGGAGATTGTCCATCCTTCTCCCACGTAGCATCTGAAATGTTATCATAATTAATAATACTTGGAAGTAGAAGCACAAAGGACCTATTCAAAGAAAATTACAAAACATTACTACAAGAAACAAAAAGATCTGGAGAAGTGGCTTGCTCATGGATAGGAAGACTCAAAATTGTGAAAATGGCAATACTACCAAAGGCAATTTATACGTTCAATGCAATCCCAATACAAATACCAATCCCATTCTTCAACGAGATGGAAAAGGTAATCTCTAACTTCATTTGGATTGGAAAGAAGCCCCGAATAAGCAAAGCACTCCTTAAAAATACAAAAAATGTAAGAGGCATCTCTCTCCCTGATTTCAAAT